TTCCCCTTGATCATGCCCTACCAGGTCTCCCACAAGATAGTGATTTTTACAGAAGAAATTGCTACACTTTTCTCCCTCATAATGGCTTCAAAACACCAAGGCATTGCTGACTCATAGTGACCATTATATAGGGACAGAGTAGAACCGCCCCAGTGAATTTCTGAGACTAACTCTTTACAGGAGTCGAAAGTCCTGTCTTTCTTCTGCAGAGCAGTTGGTGATTTTGAACTGCTGATCTTGCAGTTACCAGCCCAATGTGTTTGAACTGCTGGCCTTTCCGTCCACTCCCCAACACATAGTTACTATGCCACCAGGGCCCGCTTTTAGAAAATATCATTGCTGCATTAATATAAAAGCTAAAAAGACTGCTTATGCACAGCTTCCCAAAGCCTCAGATTCTGAGAGTTCAGCTGCTATGCAGGTAGGAAGCTGGGAAGTTTCATGTCAGTCTCAGATTCAAAACGATTAGTGAACTCTTGGTTCAAGGACCTTTTTTCCTGTTTTGTTGTTAAGCACATGCTAAATGGGTTATTTTCCTGGTTCCCCACCCCCATCTCAACACATACTTATGCTCTTTTCCGAATTAGACCATGAGCGCCTAAGGTCAGGGGCCACATCTTGTCCTCCTTTGTATCCTATAGAATTGTGCTTGTCATGGTAAGTTTACAGGAAATAGTTGTTGAATAGAAGAATGATGGAGACAATACAGCAGTGGTGGGTGAGTTGCCAGGCAGTTTGGTAAAGAGGATTAGAAAACTGGACAGATTAGCAGGGATGAGGGTATAGAGGAAAGAATGTTGCATTTTAAACCAGCAGATGGGGATCCTATAGATCTTCGTGTTCACCTTCAATTCATTCAACAGCATTTCACAAGCTTTTCCTGATGGGCCAGGCATTTGCCAGGTACTGAATAAGACAGAGGCCCCCTCTCAAGGTGTGGTGGTGGTGGAGACAAAGGGAAAACAGTGACTAGAGGGTATGTGATAGAAGCTATGAAAAGGACAAGCAGAAACCCACAGGAGCAGTTCTACCCTGTCCAAAAGGGTGGTTTGGAGTCAGAATCCAGTCAATGGCAGTGAGTTTGAAAGCCACCGTTTACGAAGCATAATGTTTGGTCATATTAATTAACGGTCCCCAAAACATGGTGGCGTAAAACCACACACGAGTATTATTATCTCGCAGTGTGTGTGATCCTGGAATCTGGACCCCATGTATTGGATTCTCTGCTTTAGAGTCTCTCACGAGCTTGCAAAGTGTCCATCAGGGCTGAAGCATCCTTTCCAGGCTATAGGCTGCCACACGCCCATGTTTGTTGGCAGAATCCTGTCCTTTCCTGGTTGTGGTTAGTGGTCACCCTCAGTTCCTTGCCACATGCCTTTTCCCAACATACCAGCTTTCCCATAAAACACAGCCACATTCTGTGTAGTCTAATTATTGAAGTGACACCCCTGTCACACTTGTCACATTTTATTGGTTAGAAGCCACTCCTGGAGTCCGCCCACACTCCAGGGGAGAGGATTACACAAGGACACGAATACCAGGAAATGGAGATCAACCAGGCCATTTAAGTCCCTGCCTGTGGGCCGCGCTAGTTTATAATTTATTAACACTGACTAAATGTTAGCTATTATTATGATACTGAATTGAGAAACTTGGAAAACCTACAGGGAGCCAGTGAAGGATTTATATCATGGAGTAATTTGGGTAGTCTCGGGCAAATCACCGAATGTTCTTGAGTGCTTCCTTGTCAATACAATGAAATACCTACCGAAACATAAAGAAACCTATCTTTCCAGAGTCCCTTAAGGCTTTTTCAGCGTTTGCTCTCTTCGCGCGCGTTCTTTTTAAATACCTTTGCTTCCGAGGCCCAGATTGGGGGGCGAGAGGGTAAGGGGCAGGGAGAGAAAACAGCCTCTCTGGGCAATTCCAAATCCTTGGTAATAAAAATGCTAATAAAATCTCAACCATCTCCTGAGGCTTCGCAGAGGGGTGTGGATGGGGGGGGATGGGATTCCCCCCCTCCTCCTGCAGCGGCTTCTGAGCTCGTGCCATTTCCAGCTGCGATCCCGCGCTGCGGGGGGCGGGGGCTCGGGTTACCTCTGGTGGCCGCCAGCCCGCGCAGCGCCGATGCCCGCTGGTCCCACCCCACCCGGCGCCTCAGTTCACCTCCTGCCCCATTTCTGTTTGGTCCCCACCCGGGGCGCTTCCCCCTGTCCCACACAGCGGCGTTTCAGGGTGTCCCCCAGTGCGGTTTACCTCCGAGGTAAACAGCACGGTGGGGGGCGCGTGGGCGGGGTGGCGAGGGGCAGCGGGGCTCGGACGGCACCAGGGACCCAGCCTCTGGCTCCGCACAAAGGCGCGCTTCTCCGCAGGGCGTCTCCGGGCCCGGGCAGCGGCCGCGCAGCAGCGACAATGCTCCTCTGCTTCTCAGAGTGGCCTCAAGGGCCAGGGAGTCCGGACCCCGCGGCCCTCGCGCACACACCCTCGCCCCGACCATCCCGCAGTGCCCCTCCGGCCGGGATCACCCCGCGCAGCCCCACTGTCCCCCAGGGTCCCGGGCTGGGCTCGCCGGACCTCCAGACCGCCCCGACGGGGTCCTGGGGTGACCCGGGAGGTCCGGGGAGGGAGCGGTGGAGGAGAGCGGGCCGCGGCTCCCGCGACCGCTGCCTTAGAAAACCTTTAATGAGAACCAGATGTGGCGGCCGCTGTCGAACTTTCTCAGACGTGGCGATAGGTCCCGGGCCGAGCACCTCGGCCAATCAGCGCGCTCGAAGGGCCCAAGGGCCCGCCCCGGCAGGACGCCCGCTGGGGTCCCGGTTCGAAGCTGGCGCGGAGCGGCTAGTGGGCTGGTTGGCCAGGCAGGGGACGCGCGCGGCGGCGGGGCACCCACGGCCGAGCGAGCATGCGGGGGGACCGGGCGGCCCGGAGGCCGGCGCTGCTGCTGCTGCTGCTGTCCCAGGTCGCAGCGCTGCAGCCGAGCGAGCTCTTCCCCTTCGGGGAGTCGTGGAAGGACCAGCTCCTGCCAGAAGGCGACGATGAGAGCTCGGCAGCGGTGAAGCTGGCCATCCCCATGCGCTTCTACGAAACCCAGTTCCGTGAGCTCTACGTAAGTCCATCCCGGCTGGCGTGCAGGATTCGAGACCTTTCCTGCAGCTTCTTTCCAGGGGGCAATGCACAAGACTATCTCACCGAAGCGCTGCCTTCCAAGGAAGAAAATCGTCTCCCTTCCCAGCGCGCCCAGCTTGCCCCCGGGTGGGAGGTTTGCAGCAGGCGTGCAGCCTGACCCCCGCCTTTCCTCACCTCCAAGGGGATTGTTCGCAGCCTTTGCTCATCCCAGGCGGAAAGGAAGGTGGGGTTGCTCAGGAGGCTGGTGGGCGTTCGCAGTGGGACGCCGAGAATGCATTCCCTCCTCTGACCCCCACCCCCACCCCCCGCGTTTGCTCCCCAGGGACCCAGGGCCCAGAGTTGTGCAGGAAGTGAGGGGTCTCGGCGCCCCTGGACCCGCGGAGTCTCTCTTTGAGTAAGAGTGAGGGCTGGGCACCCCGCTGAATTGGGCGCGCGTCTCCCTCCCTGCGCTCGAATTGGGCTCCAGGTGGTCTGCGTTAGTCTTGGGTGCCTGCCTGGCGCGTTTGGAATTGTAGATGCCCTTCAAGCCTCTTGAGAAACACATGTGGGTTTGTAGTGGTCGCCCGTTGGCTTCCTACAGGGTAAGTGGCCGTCACCTTTTCGCCCTCTCTCCCAGGTGGGCACCAATGGCATCATCTCCACCCAGGACTTCCCCAGGGAGACACAGTATGTGGACGATGATTTCCCCACAGACTTCCCGGCCATCGCCCCTTTCCTGGCTGATATCGACACCAGCCGGGGCAGGGGCCGGATCCTGTATCGTCAGGACACCTCCTCGGAAGTGCTGAGTCAAGCTGCCTACTACGTGCACACCGGCTTCCCGAGCTCTGCCGCGCGCTTCGCCCCCACCCATGCCTTCCTAGTGACCTGGGAGCAAGTGGGCGCCTATGAGGAAGTCACCCGAGGGGTGCCACCTTCTGGAGAGGTAAGTGACCAGTGAGGCTCCGGGATCTATCAAAGGGAGAGATGAGCCTGAATCCTGAATGGGAGAAATGATTCAGTCTTTGCTGAGCCTGTGGCAACACAGAGCCTGATGGATCATGTGGTGACACCAGACTTGAGTGACCTGGATGTGAAGAAGGCAGCTGTTTCCAGACTTCTTTGAGACCCTTAGAGATGGCCACCTCCCCGGGAAAGGTTGTACTCGGGGCATTGAGGGTCAGGCTGCAGAAGCCCTTCTGGGTTTACACACGCAGTTTACTGTTTGGTTGCTTAGTTTTCCAATGGGCTCTAAGTGTAGAAGTGTTATTTCTAATTATATGTTCACTGAAGGAAAAACCAGAAAATAAAAAGAACAACTGTTCATTTCCTGACCATTCAAAGATACCCCCTGTTAAACATTTCCAGATCTGTATCTATCAATCTCTACTAACAAGAATTTGCTCCCCCTGCACAGACTGTTTAGTTACCTACTTTATTCTCCACTGAATAGTGGATAGTGAATGTGTCAATGTCAGTAAGTATATTTTGACATCATGTCTCCTGACTGTAGAATATTCCACTAAGGAGATTTGCCACCATTTCCTCAAGCAGGGGTTCCAACGGTCACTGGGCTTATTCTCAGCTTTTCATGATTATTTATAATATGCGAAGCTCATTTTCTTTTATTTTTATTTCTCTATTTTTAGCTAAATCTTTCCTTAACTCATTAGTTAAGGATATTCCACAATGCATTTTTCCCAAAGTTCTTGCTTACTTTTGATAAACTGCCCTCCAGGTGCCAGTATACATGCTCCTTAGTGTGCAGGAGGCCACCCTTGGGTGTGTTTTACAGTCTTTACCTGGAGTGTAAAAACATCCAGGCCCCAGTCTGTAGGCCAGTGGTTCTCAACCTTCCTAATGCCGCAGCCCTTTAATACATTTCCTCATGTTGTGGTGAGCCCCCAACCATAAAATTATTTTCGATGCTACTTCATCACTGTCATTTTGCTACTGGCCCGAATCGTAATGCAAATATCTGATATGCAGTTTTAAGTGACACTGAGAAAAGCAGAAGAGTTTGATTTTAATCTATCCGCAGTTCTCGACCTGTGGGTCGTGACCCCTGTGGGGGTCGAATGACTCTTTCACCGGGGTTGCCCGATTCATAATGCCATTCATAATGGCAAATGTTCTCCTCCGGAGTTTCAGTAGCTCGCCCATGGTCATTGTGTATTTCAACCAGGCCATTCTTGCTCGATGTTCTCAGGGTATAAGCTGTACCTTTTCCAAAGGTTTCCAATTAACAAGGTTTGAATTTCCTTCTCTCAATGTGATCTTAGTACCAGAAAAGTCCTCGGAATGGAATTTCATTCAAAGAAAGAGTGATCACTTCCAGTGTCTATTAAGCAAAGAAGATGCTGGATATAAAAGTCACTTGCATTTAAGATTTTCTTGCCATTTAACATTTTTGTCAGATAAAATCTAGTTCTGTTGATTGAATAATTTCAAAATGCAACATTTCAGTTAGACATTTCAGTCATTCAACGGAATAATTCAATTCAAACAAATGAGCACCTTCCTTATTCCGGGCAATGGGCTGGGGAGAGGTTGGAGAAGATACAAAGAACAATAAGATAAAACCCCTTCCATTATGCTGTATTTATTCATTCACTCGTATTTGTTTTCACATTTCTAAAATCTTATTTGAAAAATTAATTATAGTAAGGAATTTGGAAAACATAAAAGAAGCACTGTAATTCTCCAAATCAGCGGTTAATTAGTCAATAGTTTATTGTTTTCTTCATTTTTTCTTAAACATATATCTTATATGTAGCATATTTAAATAAATGTATGTAAATAATTTATATTATATTCAGCAGAGTTGAGACTTATTCAACAAACTTGGTTTACATATTTCCTGTGTGGCAGGACCAGAATAGACACTGTGAAAGGAGATACTCTTTACCCCAAAATCTCATAGTGTAGTAGTGAGATTGACTACTGCTCAATGTAATCAGTCTTTTAACTTAAAAGTGCCTAGTCCTAGCTCCTTCCTAGTTAAAGTCAGTGAGGATTTTAGTGAAGGAGTCACTTTGAACCTGTGTTGAGCAGAGTAGAACATTCCAGTCAGAAGAGATAGCCTATGACATATCCCACATATGTTATAAAAGATAATCTGTTTGGGCCATGGTATTTGGCACACAGTTATTGAAGAGGAAGAAGGGTGGGGCATGAAGCTGGACAGACCATAGGATATTAGGAGTTTGGACTTTGTTCTTTGAAAGTCTGCAGCCTTTGAAGAGTTTTAAACAGGGGATTGGTACAATTGGACTTTCCAAGAGCGTTTGATTTGACTGTATTAATATTGTATGCTATTCTCATTATTGGTCTTGAGGGGCTTATCTGTCCTGGATTCCCTCTGTTGTGAGCTCTTATGTGTACCAGTGTACATGTTCTTGTCTAGATGGATTTTAAGATAGAGTTTTAAGATAGAATGAGGTCATGAGATGAGGGGGCGGGAGAGGAAGCATTAGAGAACTAGAGGAAAGTTGTATGTTTTGTTGGTGCTCTACTGCACCCTGACTGAGTCATCTCTTCCTTGTGAGCCTTCTATAAGGGGGTGTCCAATGGTCGGTCAACAGATGGGTTTTGGGTCTCCACTCCGTACTTCCCCCTCATTCACATTGATATGATTTTTTGTCATTTTTCTGGGTTTTTGATACCTGAAACCTGATCCCATGGACACCTCATGATCACACAGGCTGGTGTGCTTCTTCCATGTGGACTATGTTGCTTCTCAGCTAGATGGTCACTTATCTTCAAGCCTTTAAGACCCCAGATGTTATATCTTTTGATAGCCAGGCACCATCAGTTTTCTTCACCACATTTGCTTATGCATACATTTTGTCTTCAGTGATCGTGTCGGGAAGGTGAGCATCATGGAATGCCAGGTTATTAGAACAAGGCGTTCTTGTGTTGAGGAAGTATTATGTCCATCTGCTATCTAATAGTTAACATATAAATATATATATACTTAGATCTATTTCCCTGTCATTATATATAAATATATTTACATATGTACATGCTTGTATTTAGACCTCTATAAATGTCCTTTGCCTCCTAGTTCTTTCCTCTATTTCCTTTTACTTTCCGCTTGTCCCACAATCATGTTTGGCCTTCATTTGGGTTTCAGTAATTTGTCTTGCTCTTGAGTAAGCCCCGCCAGGCATCCTCTACCTTCTTTGCCATCGATTTTAGATCACTTGTTGTTCCCTTGTCCATGTGTTTGTTAACACCCACTTCCTTTTCCCTGCCTCCCCCTTTCCCATGTTCCCCTGGAACCATCGGTCCGTTGTTTTCTCCTCCAGATAGACATGCAGAGACAATAATAAGCATAAAAAAATAAGACAAAGCAAAACAAAACAATCATAAAAAAACAACCAATGACTGAAAAAGAAAAGCCTTTAAATAGTTCCAGGTGTGTTTGTTGACCTTTAGGAGTGTTTTCCAGTGGAGTCTGATGACACAGTCATGTGATGACAAAGGGAACCCAGGACAGATAAACCCCTCAGGACCAATGATGAGAGTAGCAATACCAGAAGGGGAAGGGGAATGTGGGGGAAGAAAGGGGGAACGGATCACAGTGATCTACATACAACCCCTTCCCAGAGGGACGGATGTCAGAAAAGTAGGTGAAGGGAGACAGTGGTTGGTGTAAGACATGAAAAAAACCAAAAGATAAATTATCAAGAATTCATGAGGGAGCGATGTGGGGGGAAGAGGGAAATAAGCTGATATCAAGGGCCCAAGTAGAAAGAAAATGTTTTGAAAATGATGGTGTCAACATATGTACACGTGCACTTGACACAATGGGTGTATGTATTGACTGTGATAAGAGCTGTAAGAGCCCCCAATAAAATGATTTTTACAAAATCAAAAAAAGAATGTACAAACACAAAGGAAAGACTGGTCACTTAACCTTTATGTATGTTTATCTCTCTATCTTGTTAAATTCTTATAACAGTACTTTATTATGCTCTTGCCCCACAATAATCCTACAAGATAGGCAAGTGAATAAATGTTTGCTTTTCATAGATAAAGGCAAAAAGAAGTTAGAGCAACTCTCCAGAATGTAGCTGTAAGTGATGCAGAGGCAGGTCTAGGACACAGATTCCTTAATCTTTTTTTGTTCAGACTTTGATGCAGAGCTATTTCCTTAGCACAAGTGATATAGCTGTAAACAATAATGGTTGTGTCAAAAAAAAATGGTTGTGCCTTCCCGAAGGCTTTCAATGAACAAGGCTTGAGTTGTATTCTTTCATTGTGATCATAGTAACAGATGGGTCCTTGGAACTATAGTTCATTCAAAGAAAGAATGAACTTGGCAGGAAATCTGCTTCCAAAGACAATTTGCATGCCAATATCACTTCCAAATCAGTGTCACAGTGTTCTGAAGTGAAATCAGCTGCATCTTTGTTCATTTTTCAACAGAGAAACAAAGACAAAGTTAAGTTAGTAAGCAACGTGAATCCACAGATGAGAAATTGTACAGAAGTCCTAGGGTTGTTATTCTAGAGCCTCTGTGCTCAGGATGTAAAATTTTACATCCACATTTTATCAGGTCTTAGATGAAATGAAAAATTGCACTACAGATAAGATGCCCTCATTAGTTATCTTTATTATGCACAATCGATATGATTTCTCCTTGTCTATCATGGTCAAAGGAGCCATGGTGAAGGATTTTGACTGATTTTTGTAGTTTGTCGGTCAAACTCATCAACTGCTCCATGGGAGAAAGATGCGGCAGTCTGCTTCCATCAGGATTATAGCTTTGGAAACCCTTTGAGGCTGTTTCACTCTGTCCTATAAGATTATGATAGAAAAAAAAAAGATTATGATAGAATTGACTCGATAGCAATGGATTTGGCTTTGATTTTTAATCAAGATCAAGTACCTGCCTCCTCTGCCTATTGATCTATGTGGAGCACAAAGAGGCTGGGTGGC